AGCCTTATTTAGTAAGCGATTTATATAAACTATGATCAAGATTCGATCGTATAGTTTGGCAAATATTGGGCGCTGAGTAAAAAAAAGGTTGACATTAGATATAGATTGTATTTGTGTAAGTCACAGTGGGTTTGAAATCGAATAATTCCAACGTTTCGCACGGAATTCTGGTCCGAGCATCTTCAAGGAAAGATTGTTTTAATCATTTAAATACCTTGAACCTTCAAAAAAAGAAAGGCTATTGCACATAACTAATTAACTATAATAATCACTCATCATGTTGTTGATTTATAAGTTTCGCTGTCTTCTAGTAGATCATTACGTAGTTAAAATGATATGGTAAGCCCAAAATCACTTTAATAAATATTGTTCAGAGGTGTTATTTGAAGGGATAGTAAAACTCGTCAGAAGCTCAATACTTGTCATCCTTGTGAACAGTGAGCACACAACTGATAAACCTTCAAGTAGAGAGTCACTACAACCTTCTTAGATCGTATGGTTGATAAAGGAAATAGCAAATGAAGTTTTTAAATCTTATTTGTGCAAACTAAATATGTTTACTGTGGTGTGTTACCTTCAGTGGCCCAAAAATTAAACTCAGGTAAAAATAAAGTTATTTTCTTTCTAAATCCATCCTGAAAAATGTATATATTATTTCCGTTTTTACTCTAGTTATTATTATCATCGTCATACTCTATCTTAAGTCTTATATGTTGTTTTTAGCTTTATAATTTACTAAGAGTTGAAGAATTTTAATGTTTACTTTCCTTGTGACAGTAATTTGTTCTTCCCCAAGCCTACACATACGCACAATCTACTCATATATCAGCAATAACTGATTACTGTAATTGAATAAACCTTTGTATGATTTTGGTATCCTTAATGTCACCTTATGATCACATATTAGTTCATCTCATGAATTTCTATTCTGCTAATCATCATATAAGGCCTATTTCCAGTAGAGTGCAACATATAATTATGAAGCCTGATGAAAAATTATTAAAGAAATATATTTGCTTTAACTGTGTATTCTACTTATCATAATAGTTGAGAATATCATCCAAGTGAGAAACGCTTCTCATGTTATACTCGCACTTGAAAACTACCTTTAAACTATAGCTATTGTGTTATATACAATATATTTGGTTGATTGATGGTGTAATCATCCAACTTCATGTTACAATTAGTAAATGCTTTAATATGATCTTACGAAATAAATAAGACTCTCTTATACTAAGTATGTGTCTCTAAATGTGATCGTGCATGCCTCTGATAAAGGTGATAGATTTTGATGTGAAATGATATCTTACCGTCACTTAGTGTGACTTAGTGTGTCACATAGTGTGTGCTTGATGCGGTATGGAATTCTCAGCTTCTAATATTTCGACTAATCTTACTTCCTATACAACATTTTTAGACGAAATAATTATACCATCTCGGCAATGTTAATAATAACAGTATTATAAACAGTAACACATAAAAATCACTTTTTATCAGGCTACCATCAGGTCTGAAGGGAATAAAAAATAGAAAAGCATGGGCAAGTCTGATGGTAATGGTTCAGTCAGTGAGTACAAAAATTTGCTATTCAAGCTGACTACTTCAAGAATGGATCTTTGAAAGACTGTTGAGTGTTTAAAAGCCCATTTCCACCTACAAAGATGTTTCTTCATTTTACTGTGGCTTGCTGCAGATATTATGAAAATAAGCAACACTACACAATACGATCTGACGACAAAATTGAATGGTTCAAAGGATCCAAACAAGAGCCACTTGGGTGTCATATATTTAGTGGCAAAATCCTAATAGCCCAAGGTTCAAGGAAGACCCCGGTGATGCAGAATTACAAAGAACTCCCATGAAGAAACCTGCCTGAGTTACGTTTACGTAATGTGATCCATATAAATAGTCCAACATTTACTTGTAAGTTACCGGGCGATAACTCGTGTTTTAGAAGCCTGTGTTACTGTCGGTCTGGTTTAGAAAGCTGAATTACAGTTCGGTCACATTGGTCTAAGTGCCAAAAAATATACTGAAATGTCACGTTGTATAAATTTTTACCACTTCAGTCAATGAATCACAAGCTAACATACTTATCTCCCCTTCAGAATGTCTCTCTACACATTTCCTGTAGGCTAATGGATCCATTCCTTTTACGGAACTTCCTTTCAACCAAGATCTACATCATCATCATCATATTGACATCTTTTTATGCAGAGAGGCATTCGATTAGGTTACAGATGCTGACAAAACAATCAGTTTGGTACGAGGTAGTTTATTTTCAAGCAATAAAATTGATAATTCACCAGGGAGAAGTGAAAGTTCGACCCTACTAGAATTCACACATTATGAACAAGTTAGTATAGCTTACAAGAATTTCTATTGCATTGCAAGTTACTTGAATGTGATCATGTTGTTTGTATACTGAAAAGACGAATTATACTAAGTTCTACATCGGACAGCACTGAAATGTACTTGTACTTGATCAAATAACTATGAAATATATGTTTATCAAATTAGTTACAAAATAACAAGCACACATATAATGTGATAGCTTTAAACTTGTCAGTTACTCCAATTTGCATAACAAGAAGGTCATTTAACAAATAGTATAAGCTAATTAGTCTTATACTAAGACTTACACATATGTCAACAACAAACTGCTAATCGAAGTCTAGTAAAGAAGTTTGTAATGTAGCCATTGAGCTAACTGACAAGGAGTTCAACAGGCTATATATTAAATAACCATGGAAGAAAACCTCTCAGTTATGCATTCGATGATATGGGTACTAAGTGGAATATGAAGTCTGACAAGCCTGCTTATATGCTCTTCTTGATAATCCAGACTAATGAGATATTTAAGCTTATGGATTCCTACTGATCCATTTTAAACATTTAGTAGTACAACACATTGTAAACTGATCAGGAAGGAAATCACAGAGATGAACAATTTAACAAGGAGATGAACCAGCTGTCAAAATTCATAAGTAAAAGTGAAGGGTACTTCATTTGCTAAATAAAGTGTGCCCTTAAAAGTCCTTATTAGGTCACAAATCCAGTAGCACTAGGTAGGTGTTTCGTCTTGGTATGGGAGTCGTCAGCAGTACACACTCACGATCTGGCTAGGGATGGAACTCAAGACCTTCAGGTTTCACGACGAACGTGTCAACTATTCAGCCACTGAGTCAGTTTACAGTGATTCCCAGTGTCAGTCCATGATGAATACTACTTCTGAATTAAAAATCTTCATTCATCTCAAAGACGTATTTTCAGGTTTTTGAATTGGGATTAGATAGAAAAATACTAGAAGCTACAAAGTACTGAAAAATGCTCTCAGTGAAACTAATTTTCGATGATGCCATTTATTTCCTGATCGATTTTCCTCGTAAATAATCACTTTTCCCAAAAGTCAAGCAAATCACAATTAATCACTATCATTTATAGCCTTTTAAACAATTTGATTTTTCATGGATATCTATGACATGTAGAGAGATATACTTTGAGAATATGAAGTTTTGTGCACCGAAAACATTGTGTGGGTGTTGGAATATGTGGCGATATGAAGAAAATTGAAGACTTTGAGTCACAAAACGGTCAGTATTGCGTCAAATGCTAACATATTTGCATGATTGTCTGTTATGTTTGAGTTCAATTTAGTGCTGGGTTATGAGATGTTCCTCTGAACATTTTAAAATCGAGGTCAAAACCTTATTTTATGCCATCTGGATTTCAGTGAGGTAAATGGTATTGAAATCTGAGACAAATCCAACGGATTCCTCACAAAATATGTGTTTAAAAATTGTTTCATAATTCCCAGAATAAAATAAAGTAGATAAGCGAAGCAATACACTTCATGAGGTGATATGCAGACTCTACTCGGTTAGAGTCAGTATGGGTTCATGACTTTTCAGTTACGAAAGGAAAATAGGTTCTTGGAGTTATTGCATAGAAGACAAAGCGTGTAGCACCCACGTGTGTCTGATTTTTTTTCATTTCATGTCTTGTGTATAGGTGATAGGTTAGTTAAATGAAACTGGATTACTTTCCACCGAAATAACTAATTCATCTTTTTTACCTTCTAGAATAATAAACGCCGCTGCAGCCTGTTTGATGTAAAAAATGTAATAGAACCTGTGGAATGGTCTAATAAGGCTAATAGGTGATTGATATATATAATGTTTAATTCAGATTTATTCTAGTCTGAAGCTTAGGACTTAAGAAAAATATTTTTCAACCTTTTAATTCTCATATGATTTGATTGGTTACTTTTAAAGAATCCCTAATTGTAAGCGTTTCCAGAAGTAGGTAGGTATGCTAACCACTTTATTTTCAGCCTTTATGAATTATGAGAATCGTGAGTCAAGGATGCTTATATCACTTTTAATGACAGCAGATTTTTGGCAATTTGTGACATACCCCTTGCTTCTTCATTAATGTCTACGGAAACCATTGAAATACCATTTAGACCTAGTGATATAAGTCAATCTAAATTGGGAGGCTAACGCAGATTTAAAATTAATGTTACTCAAGCTAATACAAGTTCAGTTTGTATCCTTTTTCTGTTAAAGTGGTCAAAGATAAGTTGACTACTGTTCATATACTTCCCCCAATATAGAGAAGAGAAACTTGCTATTACATATATTCACTGATGGTAGACCTATGACTTTATGCGTTATAACAGTCGAGTGTTTCATAAATGGTAATAATATTTGCCAAACATAACACGCATGTAACGTGTTTACCCAATTCTTAGAACTTCATTTGACAATTTAATGAAATGCAGAACATGTAATTTATTAGATTATAAAAATCTATTTGTATATTCCAAAAGTTATTTTCTGAATGGGGTAACTTGAATAAACGATCATGAAAATAAATTCATTAAAACATAAGAATTTAATATTTGATCTACATGGCACCAGAAATACCTACCTTTATCTTATTCATGAAATTAATTTTTTTTTTTGCTTTTCATCAAAGTAATATATTAAAATACTTACCAATTGTTGTAATAACTGTCACAGCGTACAATAATGCACCAGTTAATGTCCAAGGATCAGAATATTCTTCTATAATATCATTTAAAAGTATTCCATCAAAATAATCATTTGTTTTATTCAAACTATTACATAGACATAATTTTTCATTTAAACAACTGCATACTTGATCTCGTGAATGATTTAATTTATTTCTTATATGATTAGCATTAACTTTTGTATAATTGTTCAATGTACAATTATTAAATTTATAACATTGATATTGAATATTTTCAAATTTTTCTTTAACTTGTAATTTACTACTTAAATTTACTGGTCTCCAACCAGCATCACATGCAGTATATGTAGCTTGTATTAAATTTTCAATAACTTTATTTATTTCATATATTATACTTTCAGTTTTATACTTTAAATGAATAGTTAAATTTTTGTTAAATATGTTAAATATTTCCATATTTGAAATTATATCAAAATTAGATTGATTTTGTATTATAGGTTTAATAATTGGTTGAAGTAATTGAGGATAAATTTTCTTTTCAAATTCATTTTTAAAATTTTCTGGATTTATAGAAAATCCATAATATAATAATATTTTAATCATATCATTTTTCCATTTTATTTCATTATTAAACCATTGTTTTATATGATTTGTACATATTTCTAATAAATCATAATGAAAATTGATCAATAAATGTTGAATATGATTTTGTTTATTTAATAATTCTATTGTACAATTACGAATAACTTCAGTTTGATAATTTCTTTCAATGGAACGAAATAAAAAAGCACCTAATGAACAATAACCAACTACAACTAAACATAAACCAATATGTGAAAATAAAAAGGCAATGAATGATTTAAAATACCTTTTAAATTTTAAGCATTTAGTATTACCTTTCTTATATTTAATCTGTTTATTATCATACTTAAAAGGGATTGAATGATCATTATTTTCTTGACTAATAGAATTTCTATCATACAGTCTATAGACTCTACCTTTTATTGAACGTATTGGTGAATATATGTCATCATTCGACTCACTTGTTGATGCAATAGGACTCTTGACTATTTCTTTCATTTTTAATATCGGTATATGACAGTCTAATACATCTACATCTTCTTGAATAACATTGTCCTTTTTTATTACATTCAACTGTTTTAATTCAATTTCAGTTAAATTTTTTTGATTTTCATGCTTTATTGTATTTTGACTATTATTGTCTATTGTATCTTCATCATGTGAACAAGGTGTTGATAGTGTTTCATTTACATTTACCTTTTCTGTTAACAAATTGGGAGGTATGTATTCAGATTTAGTGGTTACATTCACTTCATCATTTTTAATGCGTACAAATCTTGGGATATTTGATTTTGGTACTTGAGTTGCAATAAAGTGTACAGTTGTCATAATATGAATAAAATTTAATTAATAGGTTGTTTATTTAGTCTTTTGTCTGAAATCGTTGATTTTCAGAAAAGCGCAAAGAGAAATATCTTAATTTTTAAGATTGCTGAAATACTGTCTGGTATATATATATATATATATATATATATATATATATATATATATATATATATATATATATATATACAAAACAGCCAATAACCGATAATTGCATATAAGGCAAGATGATGTTTCAGTTTTGATTGGTAGTCAAACTAGATGCAAATATTCCCATTTGTTTAACCAGTCATTCCATAAATCCTGTGTTACATAAACAAATTTTTTTTCGAACTGCTACTTTAATTTTTGCTTCTCATAGAATGAATGAAATAAGATATTGTTAATTAGAGTGAAGTAATCTTGATATAAACATTAAAAATAATCTATCCCAATATGAGTGACTGATATTATAAGGAAATGTAGAAAGCAAAACGCATCAAATCAGTAGATCTAAGACTTGTCATCTAAACGACTTAACTACAAGATCAAATTGCTGGTTAGGCATCCATTTCATATCAGTTATCGAAGGTTTCAGTATGCTGTCATCGAAGTGAGAGAGAGAGATATAATGATCAGTATTATTATGGCCAAACAATCTTCCTACCTAAGTTGTTTTTACTTGGAATCCAAATAAAATCAGTAGCAAAAAAAGCTACGACACAGCTTTGTTTTCAACTTCAATTACCAAAAATTGACGAAAATTGAATCAAATTTTGAGGGGGTTGTGGAGATTTGGAAATATTTCAAGTTGTTATTCATCGAAGACTGACATCAGTTGGAGGAACAAAGGAAACCTGGGAGCACTGGACAGCTGTTTCGTTCTAGTATGGGTGGCGGTTTGCGCGATATCGTGAGCTAACAGAAGTTGGAAATATGGAGCATTGGATTCTGACCCAGTGGCTCAATGGTAACGCGCTGGTCGCGGAACCTGAAGGTCGCGGGTTCGATCGCTGGTGGTGTGGGGTCGTGGGTGCGCACTGCTGAGGAGTCCCATACTAGGACGAAACAGCTGTCCAGTGCTCCCAGGTTTCCTTTGTTCCTCCAACTGATGTCAGTCTTCGATGAATAACAACTTGAAAATTGAATCATTTAAACACCAAATATTCAGATATTTTATTTGTTTGTGTTTAAAATATGTGACTGAGAATCTAGTATGATGATCAGAAGGTTAGCCCACTCATTTAAAGAAGAAGCGAACAAAACAGTTTATGACTACATTATCAGGCTAGTACTGAAATTCATTCATCAAAAGTTGGGCTTAGCAACTCAGAGGTAGTTGATTTGCGAAGTGACTTATAAAAACAGTTAGAAAAATCATTTATTAGTTTATTTTGTTGATCATATAACTTTCTGTTGGCTTTAGTCTTCCTTCTATTTCTAAAATATTCAACTAATTAGATGGAAATTATTAGAAAACGAGTAGAATCAGTGTTTTTATTATTCTTTGTCCCTTGGGTTCATTGTGGAACATAGGGCTTCAGTAGCACGTCTCCATTCCATTCTCTTTTCTGCAAACCTTTGAACCTGGCTTCATGACTGACCACAAGCTCTAATTTCTTCCTCACACGATCTCCTACATGTCACCCTCGGATGCCCAACTCGCCGTTTCTTATCTGGGTTCCACTCAAACGACTGGTGCGTGAAGTCCCCGAATGGTTCTCTCCGTTTTTGCCCAACCCACCTCCACTTCCTTCTGCATATTTGTTAAGCGATAGGTTTTTGCTTCGTTGGTTCGTTGCCACGCCAGAGTTACTTGTTGCTTATTCTTTCTGGCCATCTTAGCTTCCATGAAGAGCGTAGGCAGTTGTTGATGAATATCTGCAGTTCGTTGGAAATTTTTGTCGTTAGGCGCCAGTGTTCCTCCTATGAAACTAAATAAAACGGGAGACCAACTTTTTCCTGAAAAGTGGTAAATAAATAAGCCATGACAACATTTAGATGATTATTACTATTTATTGATATACTTATGATTCTCCGCTGTTTTATTGGATACAATTGTTCAACCTACTGATGAGTCCTATATATGACGAAGTGTGTGTCTTGAATTCCTCTGCCAGCCACAACTAACCAACTTAACATTTAAATTGGTTACATAGTTACTCAAAAAATAGTGGGCCTTTCGATGAGTTCCACAGTTATATGCAAATTCTGGGTAATTATACATCAACGATAGTGAGATATTGCTTCTTAATTTGAAGAAAAAGGTTAGTGTGAATATTTAAGCTTTCGAAGATGCTAAAGAGCGGACACATCTGCGAAATCATCAATATTTCGCAATTACTGACTCTTATCATCTCGAGGACCCCAGACAAGTAGTCTGTAGCTTCCCACACGACGCAAACCAAACATTAGGGACTTCATGTACTGGTGTCACATCTTTATCTGGCCATCCTGAACACACTTCTACGTGTTTCAGCTTCCCATGACATATCGAGGTGGAGGGTAACTCGGCATGCGCGTCACATAACTGCTCCACCTCGGTCGATGAAGGTTAACAACCTCGTCAATCGACTTAGTTTCCTTGCCTAGTACCCTTGCCTGACCTCATCACTGCTCACATGGTGATTCACTAAACGCGAACAATACTATGAAGACATCTATCATCAAACGCCTGCAATCGCTCCATGTCTTCTACTTTTAACCGCCATGTCTCAGCTATCTAAAAGGATAGAACGAACTACAATGCAGTATATTTGTCATTCGACAGATAAATATCTCATCGGTATACGCCACAGGTGACGCACATTAGTGAATGCCAAACGGGAATTGTGTATACGAGCTGAGATTTCATTGGCAATCAGCCTGCTTGAGCTGATGCAACTCCCAAGTATGTGAAGTGGTTGACACATTTCACCTCTTCACTCTCCATCAATAAACTGGGAGTGCTTGCAGGAGACCAGTTCTGGAGCGTCATCTTACATTTGACAGATATGAAACGTGCGTACCTTATATGGATCGGTTTCTGCTCAACACGTTCAGAAGACCCTGCGTTTTGTCAGCATGTTCATTCAGCAGGACGGTATCGACTGTGTACTTTATGTCAGTCAGATGACCTCCAGAGAGTAGACCAATCCTGTGAAGTCAGACGTATCTCCTGTTGTGTCCATTATCACATCTATAACGAGGTTGAATAGGAATGGCGACAGTCTTCATCTATGAGAGGCACCATTAGTTCTTATCATTTCATGTGACAACTCTCTATGAGCCCTTAATCGACTGCATGAGTTCCAGTGGACAGCTTTGACAAACACTACATACTTGCTTGGTACTCCTCTCATATTCAAACACTGTACACCACCTCACTGTCAAAAGAGTCAAATCCCGCCCTAAGGTAGTGAAATATGAGAGGTGTAGACCACTGACCGGTAACTATCCTTGTATTTTAGAACCTGCGGAAGGTAAAATTTTGAACGATGCACCCTTTCTCAGGTTTGAAACCTGCTCGGCTTTCCAGAGTTTGCTGTTCTCGAGCTCCGGTTAAGCGTCAGATGACTACTGACACTATGATCATGGACACGATACTTGTCAAACTAATTTCCACGTGGTTTCACATGAAGACTTCTCTTTGTTTTTACAGACTGGAATGATCAGTGAAGTACGCCAATCCGATGGGACTGTCTCTCATTCTCACACACTATCTAGTTCCTCCATCACTCTTATCAACAATTTTCTTCCTTTATCCTTCAAAACTTCAGCTGAAAAACAGTCAAGTCGTACTGCTTTGCGTCGTTCCAGGTCTGATACAGCTTTCTCATTTTTAAGAAGGGTTAGAGGACTGACATCTACGTGCTATCCAGATTTAGACTGAATGTTGAGCAACTGAAGAATTGCTGTGAGTCAATCGAACTGTGCTTCGAATTGTTCTCCCCAACGTTCAAGCTGCCTGTCCTGGAAGATTGCCAGCGTTGCATAATCTCAGTTATGGCTTCACTAACCGTCATCTTCTTGCCATCACCCCTTATAAGTCCAAATATTTGGTGAGTGTTACCCACCGCTGATACCTTCTCCATCTCTCTTGCTTTCGCCACCCATTACTGTTCGCGATCGACATGAAGACAGTTGGTAAACTTGCGTTTGAGTTGCTTTTGCTCTTCATCGAGGTCGCAGCTAGTTAAAAATCACTCTTCTTGAGTCAACCAATCCGGATAACGTCACAGAAGTCCAATGACGATTACTTACCTTCATATGTAGGTTACCTTTTGTCTTTACCGCTTTTTCTATAGCTGACAACATCTCGCCAGGTATCTGCAGGATCAGCGTTGTTGTTGCGGCGAGATAAATGCTTAGTTAACTCCCACTTGAATAAGTTTTCGGCGTAGACAGGATTATCATCACATGGGATTATCATGAGTCCGTACTACGGCGTGGTCGAACTCTACACAGGTACCCCCAGAAACAGAGCCAATCCTCCATCGATCCTCTCTAGTGATGGCTTATAGCAATGTGATTGTTTGTTAACTTTTCATGTAGAAAAGTGGCAAGACGAGATGAACTATTTGTCCTGCCTTTTCATTTTGTCAGTTTTTCTTTGTATAGTCTCTATTATCAAACAGTCTGAAGACGTTATATGTTCGAATGGAATGAAGTTCACTGCATCAGAAATAGTGAACAGAGGCCGAGAAAATACATATGGATTCATTTTCTCTTCTTGGAAAATCTAACTCATTTCATCTGATGGAAGATTGTATTAGATCATTAACTTCTAGATTTCATAAAATGGTGGGAAATTGGTGTTTTTCAAGAAAAGACTACGCTTTATATTATTTTCTTCAAGCCAACGTTAAAATGCAGTGAATATCTTATGATTAATCATGTTGAATATAACAGCAATTCTATTGGTTTGTTGATTAAACTTCTTCAGCTGAATTACACTGAGTTTCTTTCAGGTTCCAAAAATTAATCGAATCGGTTTAAGCAGCTTATGTTATTTATGAAATCACGCTTCAGAGTACGGTTCATTTTGACTAATTTGCCTTGCTTTACTGAGTCAGTTGCATTTTATTGTTGAGACTGAAGATACTTCCTACTGACTAGACAACAATAGGTTAATCATCCCGCTCAAATAAATCTCAATCTGTCGGACAGCCA